ACTCCGTGGGGTACGTCGCCATGCTCTCAGATGCGGGCTCCCTCGACCCTGATGGCTACCCCTTCGGCGCCGACCACCACGGGCGCTCCTCGGATGGCGGCTCTCTCCTCACGGGTTGCCACGAGCCGCGCGTCCTCGGCCACTCCGCGGTCTCAGAGGCTATGGCCTTCCTTTCCGCGTCCCGCGCCATGGCCCCCCTCCCGCCCTGACTCCCCGCCTGGAAAATTCCAGTCCAGCGTGCCCGCTTCTCCCGCTCCCGATGCCCAGTGCCCCTCTCCCCACGCCTTCGTGTCACCCCGCCTCTCTGTTCTGCCCTTTGCTGCTCTCCCCATGTCGCCGCACGGAGCCCTTCACTCTAATCCTTTAGTCCCCCCTCCTGGTCCTTCGCTCGCGAGATCTGCTGCTGCTGTTGCTTGCCCCCCGCCTTCTCACCCGCCTCTCATCGCGACGTTCACCGTCCCTGTCCAGCTGCCTGGTCGCTCGAATTCTTTTCTTTTCCCATCCACAGCTTCCAGCTCATCATCTGCCGTTGCACCCAGCCCCCCGCCATATATAAATGCGGCTGCGCTGGGCACCATCTCCAACCCGACGCTGAGCGCGGAGGACGCACTTGGCGCCCCGCCGCCCGCGTCCCTGCCCCCGCCGCCGTAGGTGGGAGGACACGCGCCCCCCCCTACGCTCGTCTCTATCCCCCTCCTCCTCCTTCTATGTCCCCCTGGATCCTCCTACTCGTCTTCTTCGATGAGCCCCATCGATATTCAATCATCCTTCCCCCCTCCTCTTTCTTATCCATGGTTCTCCCTTTTTCTTTCTTCTAACTGACTCCTCCCTGCCGCACCCCCAGGCGTAACGGTAGGGCAGGCCTGGCGGGTTGCTTCAGAGGTTTCCAGCGTGCATGATCTTGAAGTTTGAAAGGTGCGACAGCTTCAAGGATGGAGGGCCGGTGGTTTACAACATGTGGTTCCCGCCTTAGCGCCGCACACAGTCACTTCAACGTTTGCGACAGCTTCCAGGATCCAGGGCGGGAGGTGTTCAAAATGCCGCTCTCGCGTCAGCGACGCGCACATTCGTATTATCCGCTTGCAACATTCCGAGGATGGCGGCCGCTTGCTTTCCAAAATGTGGCTCTCGCCTCGTCATCGCGCGCATTCGTCTTAAACAATTGCAGCTGTTTCGAGGATGGACGGGGAAGGTTTTTAAATTGTGGCTCTCGCCTCAGCGCCGCGCGCATTTGCATTGACAGTTTGAAGCAGTTTCACAGTTTGCCAGCGCACGCATATGCCTCAATCATCCATATCATCAGAAGCATGGCACAGCCAGTCAAACCCAGCTGGAAAAGGGCGCCTCTCTCCTCATTCCCCGCTTGTTCGATCCTCCTCTCTCGCGTCCTCCCGCGCCCGCTCGCACACGGATTATCGAGGGAATTGTCCAGGGGGTTGTCAACTGGGTTGTCCTTGTCCGGGGCCCCCTCATTCTTCAGCTTTCAGCCTTCTCATTCCTCAGCGTCCGGCCGGTCATTTCCCCCTGTGACATCCTCGCAACTCTGAGCTCGGGGATGGCATGTCCTGACCTGAGGTTGTCCAGCCAGTTTCGCTTGAGACATTCTCGAAACAATGGTTTCTGAGGTGCTGCGCGCGAAGTTGTCCAGCCAGTTTTGCCTGAGACAGCCTCGCAACTCTGTGGACAAAGATCTTGACCCAAGGATGAGCAGACACAGCACTCCCGCGGTGTCGGGGGGAAGGTGGCGAATGGTGTTGTTGTTGGATCGCCGGCCATATCCCTGAACGGGAGTGGTGCTCTCGCCTGAGCGGTGACGACACTCTCGATTCGGAAGTTAGCTGTCGCCCGAGCACTAGATGTTGCTCTCGCCCGAGCGCCAGCCACATCCCTGATTGAAAATGGTGCTCTCGCCAGTGCGCCTGCCACATCCCTGGTAGGGAACGGTGCTCTCTCTCCAACGTTGGCCACACTGACATGCTAGAGCACTTGTGATCTCCATCTCGGAGGGGTTGTCCGAGTTGTCCGGGGAGTTGTCCGTTTAATACGTTTTTTCCATGCAACATAGTATGGCTAATCTCCATGAATCGCATTTTGGTGCGACTCAAGGCTGTCAAGACGCAACAGTCACGTTTAATCACGGCGCTGGAGTCACAGGACTAGTTTCTTGGCACGATTCAGGATGGCAGGACGGAACAGGCACGTTGATTCGTGGCACTTTCAATGGGGCGTTTCCTGCTATGGAGCTCCAGTTGGTTTATTGCAGCATCGTTGATGCGTTTTGAGTTTGCACTGGTCCTCCTCATCATCGACCCCTCTGCTCGCTCTCCTTGATCCGACTCCTCCTCGATCTTCCTCGTCCATCATCCTCGATCCTCCTCCGCGATACTCCTGCAACCCTCGTCAAAATACCTCAAAAATGTCTGACGTGGTTGAACTGGTTGTCGGAAGATCCGGGGCCGAGTATCGATGAGTGCGGGGTACTTGCATGCGCCGCCCCTCCAATGTCGGTCGACGTCAAACTTTCGAGTCAACTTCGGTCAGACTATCTTTGCCCTCGCCCCGACATTGAAGGGGCGGCGTGTCGACATTGAGGGGCGCGCCGAAATCGAAATGACGTGCCAGCAACTTTTGAGGTTAATTTTGACGAGGGTAGTGGAATCTATACCTCCGACGCCTTTGTTTTTGAGCGGCGCGGGCTCACAGAGGTATGGAGCTGGCCGAGGACTGTGCAGGTCCGGCTGTCCCGTTCCGAGCCCTATCTTGACAGCTCCTGCACCCCGTGACCAGCGGCCAACAGAACTGCCCACGGGTCATTCGCGCTATTGTCCGTGACGAGAGGGGTCCTGGGGCCCTCCATCTTCCCTCCCCAGCCATGCCTTCTCGCCCCCTCCTTTCCCCTTTGGCCCCCTCCCCCTCCTCCTCTGGCATCGTCTGCCTGCCTCGTCCGCCGCTCCGGTGTCCTCGCCGCCGCTGCCGTGTTCGTGGCCGTCGTTGTCTTCGTCGGCGTCGTTGCCGTCGGCGCCGTCGCCGCCATCACCAATATCGTCTCCTGTCCGTCGTCTGTTGCCGTCGTCGTCGTCGCATTCGTCGTCGTCGCCGCATCGGGAGCGCTCGCCTTCTCCGTCGTCGCGTCGTGCTCACGACGCGAGGAGGTCTGAGATCTGCCTCGATCGTCTGCTTCGGGAGACTCCTCGAGCGGCCGTGGGGCAATACGAGCACGGGGCCCTGAGCGAATCGGATCCCGGAAGGGTTGCCCCGGATCTCACCCCGAGCCTTGCTTTTGCGCGCGGGCTCCTGGGCAGGGCACCCGGGGGGGGGGCGAAAGCGGCGAGAGGCCTCGGGCCGAAGGATGGGGGGGCCTTCGAGGGAACGGGGGCCCTTCGAGGTCTCCTCGCAGTGCTCGGTCCCGACGGGGCCCTCTCCCGGGTCGGACGAGGGAGCGGGGGGGGTTAGTCGAGTAGGGGATCGACTACAGAGTTGATGTCCCCAAAGCTTGTTTTTTTTTCCGTCGATCCTTGAGACATGCGCAGAACGTTCGTAGGCCTACGATCCTGCTGCGTATCCTTCGTAGACTCGATACGGGAGAATCAATTCTTGGGTGAATCGGTTCTGTAGCCGATCCACTGCTCGAGTGATGTATCGGGAGGGGGGCCGATCCGAAGTCTACTCCGTGCAGCCGGTTTCGACCCCGCCGACCAGCTCCCTGGAGGAGGAAGAGGATTAGGAGGAGGAGAGGAGGATGAGGAGGAGGAGGAGGAGGAGGAGGAGGAGGAGGAGGGGGGAGGAGAAGGAGGGAGGAGGAGGGGGGAGGAGGGAGGAGAGAGGGAGAGGATGAGGGATGACGAAACCTGCTGCGTGCAGCCGCTTTGTGTGCAGCCGCTTTCGGCCCCGCCGCCGAGCCCTGGTCGCGCCGACTGGTTTGCTAACTGCGCCCCCTTTGATCCCCCCCCTGGTCTTGGCATCGCTCGGGCGTGTGTGTGTGTGTGTGTGTGTGTGTGTGTGTGTGTGTGTGTGTGTGTGTGTGTGTGTGTGTGTGTGTGTGTGTGTGTGTGTGGTGTGGTGTGTGTGGTGTGTGTGTGTGTGTGTGTGGTGTGTGTGTGTGTGTGTGTGTGTGTGTGGTGTGTGTGTGTGTGTGTGTGTGTGTTGTGTGTGTGTGTGTGTGTGTGTGTGTGTGTGTGTGTGTGTGTGTGTGTGTGTGTGTGTGTGTGTGTGTGTGTGTGTGTGTGTGTGTGTGTTGTGTGTGTGTGTGTGTGTGTGTGTGTGTGTGTGTGTGTGTGTGTGTGTGTGTGTGTGTGTGTGTGTGTGTGTGGTGTGTGTGTGTGTGTGTGTGTGTGTGTGTGTGTGTGTGTGTGTGTGTGTGTGTGTGTGTGTGTGTGTGTGTGTGTGTGTGTGTGTGTGTGTGTGTGTGTGTGTGTGTGTGTGTGTGTGTGTGTGTGTGCGTGCGTGCGTGCGTGCGTGCGTGCGTGCGTGCGTGCGTGCGTGCGTGCGTGCGTGCGTGTGTGTGTGTGTGTGTGTGTGTGTTCTCGGCGGCGGGCCGCCTGAGGCCCCGCCCGCCTGTGCCTTGTCTCCCTGATTAAAGCTGTGCGTAGCCCGTCTAGCTTTTAGCGGAAGAGGTTCGCTCTCGCCCCGCCGACCAAAAAGTGTTTTTCTCTCTGCAGGGAACATCGAGAAGCACCCCGCATCGCCCTGCAAAAAAAACACGGACGCACGGAGTCGAGAAATAATTCACGGGGGACGCACGTCCGAGAGCGATGCCAAGCGGTCCGTCCGCCGCGAGCAGAGGTGGTCTTGCCGCGTTCTTCGCCGCGCTCGGCGCACTGGGCCCGAAGATTGTAGGGACGACATCTGGGGAGGCATGGTTGTCCCTCCTCCGCCTCCTCCTCCGCCGCCTCCTCCTCCCTCCTCCCTCCTCCTCCCTCCTCCTCCTCCTCCTCCTCCTCCTCCTCCTCCTCCTCCTCCTCCTCCTCCTCCTCCTCCTCCTCCTCCTCCTCCCCCTGCAGGAGCAGAGCCGCATCGAGGCCGCTGGCGGAGTGGTGAAGTTCGACGGGCAGATCAACCATCGCGTCTGGACCTCGCCCGGCACGGAGAGGAAGCGGGTTCTGGAGGTTTCTCACCGCTTTCGGGCTCCTGGGGCCCTCGCCCCCGGACCGAAACAATCAAGCGCAGGACGAAGCTGGCTTTGGGGGAAGGCCCGCGGTCCTGGGTCCGTGTCTCTCAGGACTCGTTTGCGTCGGGCCAGCTCTCATTGTCGACGCCGCCGCTGTCGTCGCATTCCGACTGGGCCTAGCAGCACGCACAAGGGGGAGGGTGGCGGGCTTCGAAGATGGCGGGGGCTCCTCAAAAGAGCACGTGCCTTGTCAGGATGGCCGGGAGGCTTCTCAGGCTCCTGCGAAGCCCGCTGCCTTTTTTGAAGCCCCCAGCCTTCCCCCTCGCGTTCCCTTGCGTGCGCCTTCAGCATGCTCTGCTCAAACTCGGTCCTCAGACCCCTTCCGCACCAAAGCTGGACCTCTCCTGGGGTTCTCTGGTCTGGCCTGTGCTCCGAACTGCGTCCAGACGTGTTGACGCGAACCTCTTGGAAGGCTCAAGAACCTCGAAACATCGAAGAAGCAAAACACAATAAACATAAGCTTTGGGCGCCACGCGCGGATTTATTGCATCCTCGCCGGGCCTCCGGGCCGCCAGAAAACGAGTCAGGATGAAAAGCGGTCCTGGGGAAAGGTCCAGCACTTCCAGGGACCCCGTATCGAGCAAATCATTGGACGTCGCATGCCTGGGATCATCGCGTCCAGGTGTACCTTTTCCTGCACATCCCGTTCGGCACCGCCTGATCCCCGGGCTCCGCCCGCTCCTGGCCGCGTGAGGCCCCGCTCGCCCTCGCCCCCCTCTCTGTCAATCCAAGCCGCGCGCGTCCCGCGGAGCTTTTAGCGGAAGAGGCTCGCTCTCGCCCTGCAGATCAAACATGTCTGGGATCATCGCGTCTGGACCCTCAGACCTCAGCGCCTCAGAGTGGGACGTCGACGTCGTGGGCTGGCAGGTCAGCTCGCTGCTGCGTCTGGACCCCCAGACACCTGGCGCCTCGAGCCAGTGGCAGCACCCCTCAGCGATTTTTTGGGCCGGGGCCCTCCGGGGGCCGCTCTCTCGTGCCCTGGGCGACTGGGTACCATCTTTTATGACGGGCGTGACCGGGACGGGGGGGGAGGGAGTCAGTCACGTCACCATTCGCGCCAGCGCCGCTTGGGAATGGTTCAGAGTGGCTGCCACTTTCCAGACGGCGCCGGCGCGAACCGTGACGTGACCAGGGCGGGGGGAGGGACCGGTCACGGACGCCATCGCGAACAATACACAGATGGGCTCCCGGAGGAGGAGGAGGAGGAGGAGGAGGAGGAGGAGGAGGAGGAGGAGGAGGAGGAGGGCAGCGAGTGGCCAGAAGAGTGCATCGCCCTCCCACAAGCATCGGCGCCGACGACGTCGTCGATGACGTCGTCGTCGATCCGTGACACCCCCCCCGGCCACGCCGCGCGCGAGGAACGCCGACGGCCGCGGGGGGCTCTGCGTGTCGCGCGTCCTAGGACGGGGCCGCGCAGGGTCCCCTGGGACGCCGCCGCCGCCGCCGTCGTCGTTCGGCGGCTTCCGAATTCAAAAGGGGGCCCTGAAGATGCACGCCGGTCGTTGGCAGTAGGTATTGCTGGATCCCCAGATCGGCGACGCGTAGGAGTGACCCTTCGCCGGAGTGACCTCTGGTGCGGGCTCATCGGGCCCCCCCCGATCGCTGAGCGCGATGCGATGGCAGCGGCCTGCGCGCTTGGGTTTGGCCCCCTCGCGCCCCCCCAAAGCCGCGCACCAAAGGTCACTCTTACCCAGGGTCACTATTGCGCGTAGCCGACCAGACCACAGCGTGCGTTAGCCGCCTTCCCACCTGCAGAGTCGGGTGGCGTTCCCTCTGCCCTCGTCCTCAGGGGGGCGGGCGGAGGCCCAACCTAGCTTCAGCGCCGCCTGCCCGCTCAATGTCTCTGCCCGCTTCGTCCGACCGACGGGTGCCCTGACATCCTCGGGTTTTCCGGGGGCCCTCACCGGCCCCTAGGGGGCCGTCGCAAAACCTGTCCCGGGATGCAGGAGTTGTCCCGGGGAAGTGGTCTAGACCTCCTTTGGGTAGCCAGGGTGCGGTAAAGACACGACGTCGGATGTCTGGGGATGGAAGGGGATGGATCCAAGGGTGAATCTACATTGTTTGAGGCCCTTCGTTCCTCACGGACCCATACCTGAGGGCCCATCTTTGAGCCGACGAGTCGTTGCCGTCGATGCCGCGTAGGTCGCGACGGAGGCGAGGAGGAGGAGGAGGACGACGACGACAACAAATGCGGCAACAACGACGGCGAACGAGGCGACTGCGACGACTAAGGCGATGACTACAAGTTCGGCGACGACGACGATGACGATGGCGGCGGCGACGACGACGAATGCGACGACGACGACGACGACGACGACGACAGCGACAGCGACAGCGACAGACGACAGGCACAACGACGACGCTGGCGACGACGGCGACGACGAAGGGAGGAGGGTGGAAGGAGGATGCGGGACAAATTGGGTACTTGGTGACGGTGCCGCCGAAAAATGTCCTGAATACACATGCTGAAATTGGTGATATGTATGTTGGCGACGGCGCTTTTAGAGAACCGCTGAGTGCCCTCGCTGCGCTAGCGGGATTTGGCACTAGACTCGCGTGATCTCCGCTCGCCAGCAAGAACCCTTTTTCTACTGCATTGGTTGCGTTTCCAGTGTCGTTAACAACTGCCCCACAAAACAAGCTACGCGAAGTACAGTCGAGCATCTGATGAAGAAGTCCCCTCCCGAGAAACTGGGCCGGCGTTTCTTAACCAACTCGACCGACAGCAGGCCCAGCTTCTTGAGCACGTTCGCACCCCCAGCGTGAACGACAGAAATTGGACCAGATCTGCTTTGAGAAACTTACACGTTGTTCATTCCTAATTCTTCGAAGGTGCTTTGATTTTGGGGGGCCAAGATCCTTTCAGTTCTAATTGCTCTATCCTGGGCCTCTTCCTGGCTACTGAGGGGGCCAAGAACAATTAGAAACGAGCACAAGTAGAAATGAGCACGATTCGAAATGCACGACGTGTACGCACGGCTGGCCCAGACATGCTTCTCTTCTTGATCATGCTCCTACGACGCGGTAACAATACAGCCGCCAGGGCAGCAGCGGCCAGGGCACAGCGCCCGAGCCTGCGCGCCTCGCTGTCGCCCGCGTCTGGCGTCGGCGCCGCCGTCGTGGAAGCGGGGGGTCACCACCCACCAAGCCACCCCAACCCAACCCGAAGCCCTCCATTTGCCTTCCCTTTCCAGTGGGGGGGGGGTCGGGGAACGTTGAGAAACCACATGGTATCCGTACCCCCCCCCCGACCCGAAATTCGGGTCAACTTCGGGCCTTCGGGTTGGGTTGGGGTGGTCTGGTAGGCAGTCAGGGGGGGAGGACGAGGGCGGCCACGGAGAAGGAGCTGCGAGCACCTGGGGCGGTCCGAGCGTGCATCCCACGCAGGCAGGGCGCAGAGGCGCCGCGCTGCCAGATGCAGCCTCCCTGGCTCCACTTCCTCCTCCCCCTCCTCCTCCTCTTCCTCCTCCTCCTCCTCCTCCTCCTCCTCTCCTCCTCCTCCTCCTCCTCCTCCTCCTCCTCCTCCTCCTCCTCCTCCTCTTCCTTTTCCTCCTCCTCCTCCTCCTCCTCCTCCTCCTCCTCCCCCTCCTCCCCCTCCCCTTCGTCCTCCAGACGGACGCCTCAGGCAACGACTTTGGTCTCGGCATCGCTCGGACGTGTGCAATTTTTATCGGCGAGGGCCACCGGGGAGCATCTTGGCTCACCGTGCGCGAGATGCGCGCGAGACCGAAGAACGCACGGGGAATGGCGAGTGGTGGCAGCATCTGGGCCTTCGGTACCGCGCGAGACCGCCCCGGCGAAGTCCACGCCGCGCGTGCGCACGCCTCGCGGGGCGCAGCGCCTGCGCGGGGACCGCGCGCGCGCGGCACGCCGGTGGCGCCGCGGGCCCGCCACGCGGCCGCGGCGGCCCTCCGCGCCCTCCTGCCAGAGGGCAGGCGCGCGGACGCGCTTTTGGACTCGAAGAAGAAGCAGCGGCACGAACGAAAGCTCGCGGAGCCCCGCGCGGATTTCTCGGAGCTGCGCGGGGCCCCCCCCCCGCCTCCGCACGGTCTGAGGGCTCTGGGGCCGTCCTGCGGCCTGCCCTCTCCTCGCCCCTCGCCCGCCTTGCGCCCCGCTCTGCCCGAGTTCGGTGCGCAGCCCGCTCCGGCGAGCGTTCCGGGTTCGATCCGGTCTCACGGTTCGGTGGTGGTCTCGAGATGCCTTTTTGCCTTGGCATCGCTCGGACGTGTGCATTTTTCTCGGCGAGAACCACCGAGGACCATTCATGACCATCGAGCAAAAAAACAAAACCCGCACGAAACCGGAAAATGCACGGAAAATGGGCGTCCGAGCGACGGCAAGTTGCGGTTGGAATCCGCGCGACCCCCACAGAGCACGGGAGCTCCGCGCGGCGCCTCCACGTGAAGCGCACCAGCATGCACGGGTCGGGGGCTCGTCTGCGCTCGCCGCTCGGCATGCAGCCCGGCAGCCTCGACGTGCAGCACCCAAGGATGTAGCGAAGGCTCCTCGCCCATTTCGTCATAGCAGTTGCGCCTCGGTGTGTTCAAAATGGCCGAGAGAACTGCCGAGCGTGCCCGAATGAAGGCGCGACGCCTCGTTGCACCTGGCTCGCTCGGGAACGTCGGAAAAGATCAACCAAACGCACATGGTTGAACTCTCGATCCCAACCCTGGGGCCTTTCTTGTTCGTCGCGGATGTGTACCTTGTCGGTTTGTTTTGTCGCGTCGCTTGGAAGTTTCGTGTTCTATCCGCTCCAGTCACGGCCGTGTCCACAAAGGCCCTCCAGGAGACTCAACACTGGAAGACGTCGGAGTCCTCCCTCATCCTTTTGTC